AATGACATTAGTGGCCGGCGCTCCCAGCTCTGCGATGGCGGCCTCAAGACTTGGCTGCGGAGGATACACGCAGACAGGGACAAGGCGGTGGACGGCCCCGAGGCGGTGAGTGTCCCCTACCCACTTGGCGGCTGGAGAACTGGATCGGAGACTGCGGGAGGCCCCCGGGGCAGGTCCCATCGCCATTTTCCAGGCACTCACCGTCCAGCTGCTGGGATCGGCCAACTGTGGCCACGAGGGGGCGCCCAGGTCCTATCACAGAGAGTGAGAAAGAGGTGCCGCAGAAATGTGGGAGGTGACGGGGAGGTGACAGAGAGCCAATAGGACCTGGGCTGTGAGGAGACTTCTGGAGGTCATCTTCCCCGCCACATTGCGTGCCTGGCCGAGTTGGGAAAGTGGGGGCTTTGGTGGCTGTGGGTGATTTGGGTGGAGAGGGGTGGGTAGAAGCCGGGAAGGGCAGTGCCTGAGAGGAGTCCTGAACACAGTTCTCTACAGCCCAGGGGAGAGAAATCTGCCAGGAGGGACCTGCCTGTGGATGGTGTGGTGGGAGGCCAGTCTTGATGTAAACCCACGTGCATGTGTTTGCAGGCCATTGCGTGCACTCCTGCTGTGTGCATGAGCGTGAGCACGGGTATGCAGGCATGTTTCTGTGTCTGTCTGCATCTGCACATATCAGGGGAGGGACGTGTGTGTATGACTTGTGCCCGAGCCTCTGGTTGTGCGTGCGTGCGCACGTGTGTGTATGTGTGCATGCACACTTTGTGACTTCTTGCATGGGTACTTGTGCAAGCACACACATCCATGTGTTTAAGCGTACATATTCACGGTGCCTGTGAACATGAATGTCTCTCTCTCTCTGCAGAGTCCCCAAGTGGCAAAGATCCAAGTGGCCTGGCCTATCGAGGACCTTCTGAGAGTACCTCTGACCCCCAACACCAAAGTGGCCCACGTCCTGAAGCAGTTCACACAGCACCCCAGCCCTGATTCTGAGGGTCAAGGGGGCAGTGAGGACAAGGACGGCCTCCTCGCACAGTAAGGGGCACCCCGGGAGGCAGCAGCCTCTCCCCTGCAGGAGACAAGCAGTGAGCCTGGGAGAGGGGCGGCACCTCAGAGCTAAAGGCCAGCAAGGGGACTTGCACACACTGCTGGCCTGGCCTTGGCCTTCCTTTTCTGGGTGGTCAGAACCTTCAGAGTGAGCTTCTCAGCTCCAAATAATATTGTAATGGCCACCATTCATTCATTCTTTTATTTTTCTTCTTCTTTTTTTTTTTTTTTTTGGCTATAGGATGTGTGTGCTTGCTGGATAGAGACAGAGAGAGGGCAAGTGAGACATCATCCCCGCAGCAAGCCCTTCTCCATTCTCCTCTCAGGATTTTGGGCATGCATGCATATGTGCCCAGTATGTTTTTCAGGCTGCCGGGTCTGGGACTCAAATTGTGGAGTCAGCCATGTGGGACCCAGTACCCTAACCCCATGCTGCCTGCTAGCCCTCACTCATCATCGGAATGGTATTTAGTGAATGCAGTGTAGGCCCGCCACTGTGTGGAGTGCACAAAATCAGTGAAAAGAGCAGACAGCCCTGGCCTTCTAGCGCCTAGCCCTGTGGAAGAGAGAGACATAAACCAAGTAGCTGTGAAATCAATATCAAGTTACAAGCTGCATTAGTTTTTTCAGAAATACGGGGAATGCGAATGTAAAACAAGACCCCTGGTGTCGTCTGGGGAGTGAAGTCAGACTTCCAGGCACAGGAGACTGTGTGTGCAAAGGTCCTGAGGCAGCCAGGAACGCAGCACAGCCGACGTCACGAAAAGGCCAGTAGGCTGGCATGCAGCCATCCTTCCCAGGATGCACAGACAGCCTGAGCCTTCAGAAGGAGCTTCCTACGTGGGGCTGCCACGAGGGGCGCTCAAACCTCAGTCCTCAGCCCGTGTCCAGTCCATTCCTCCTTGTGCAGACGAGAAAATGAAGGCCCGGAGAAGGGACGAGGCTTGCCTAGGGCCACACAACAAATCAGAGACAGATCCCGGAATTGAACCCAAAATATTCTGGGCCAGCAGGTGGCGTGGTGGCGAAGGTGCTGGATTTGCAGAGGTTTGAAAATCACTCACTCTGGGTGCCTGTTTGTGCAAGCCCAGAATCCCGAGAGGAGGATGGAGGAGAGGGACTGCAGTGTGGCCACCCTCTCGTGGGATGATTTCTCACTTTCCTTCTCTCTGTCTCTCTTTGGTGAATGCATGTGGCCTATGGCAAAAAAAAAAAAAAAAAAAAAAAAAAAACCATAATTACCCTACACTAACTGTATGGTTACACATTCTCATACAGTACCCATAATCGGCCTTGACTCAGAATCTGCCCCTCACAGCAGGGTCCCGGCCTTGTCTGTCACCTCTCCTTCCCCTGCCCTCACAGCTCTACACTGAAGCCTAGCAGGAGGGGGCCTTGTGGCAGGGGCACCCAAGCTGCCCCTTACCACGTGTGCCACCCCCTGCTCTTCCCCACCCTGAGAGCGCGACTCCTTCATTGACTCCAGCACTCTCAGGAGGAGGAGGGTCTTTGAGCCTCTTTTCCTTTCCAGGTCTGGGGTCCACATGCAATTGTCAGTCTTACTGCCTCCCCCAGAAGAAGGCCCGCAGTTTTATGTTGGTCTGTTTTTAATACTTTTTAAAAGTTTACTTCTTTCTTCTCTGAGTGAGAGAGAACCCTCAACGGGATCTAGCTGCCATGACCCACCACCAGCTTCAGCCAGCCCCAGCTCATGGGCACGTGTGTGCCTGACATAGTCAGGGAGGTCTCTGGACGCGGAACTAGAACCTCCTCGTGGGGATCACCCTTGCAGAGCGCCACTGTCAGGATCTTCAGCAGCATTCTTCTCTCTGTCTTGCAGCAACAGGTCCATGGACTCGGCCCACATCCTCCTTTATGAAGTTGGAGGGAATATCAGTAAGTTTGCTGCAGAAGATGGGCCCAGAGCTCAGGTCCCTGCCGGCTCTTTGACCTTGAAGGCCTAATGGGTGTCCTGGGGGAGGCCAGTGTCCACCTGGAGCTGAGCCTTCCCATCAGGCCTCTGTGCCTAGTGAAGCCAGGTGGCACCTGCTGTGAGGTCAAGGTCAACCCAGACATGCCTTAGGATCCATTCTGTAGTCTGGGGTGTGGCCTGGAGCTGGCCTCAGGCTTGGGGGCGGGGCAGACGGATTTTAGTGGGAAGGTTGTCGGTGCCACCAGTGAAATGGATGCCCCTGGGGCCCCTGCTAAGAAGGACTCCCTCACAGGCCCATGGGCTGTGGGTTCTGGAAGGACATATGCACGCACATCCGGCTGTGAGGGGCTTTGTGGGAACCAAGAATAGGCAGCTGCTCTGGCCGCATCCTCCAGGGCAACGACCCTGAAATTCACAGTCACATGGAGGTCCATTAAGACACAGGCAGAGGGCCCTGGGACGGCACCTTTCTAGCAAGTTCCCAGGTGAAGCTGATGCTGCTGGTCAGGGGACCACACTTAAAGCCAACTGGCTGAGAAGCAAGGGCTGAGAAAAGGCTTCCGGAGTGCACGTGCATTTTCCCTGAGAAAGCCAGGCCAGGGAAGGAGCCAAGGAGGTTCTTATCCTGGAGCTTGGCCTGATCCACAAGACCTGTTCCCTTTTGAGGGAGCAAGGCTGACCTTTGCAGCGGTCAGTTTTTGGCTGTGGTCTCCTCTGGGGATGGGGACATGTCTCTGGTGAGGCATCTTCCTTCAGCAGAGGTCAGTTCTCCAGAGAAGGGGGCAGCTGTGAGCCATGGCAGCTGAGCGCTCATAGCTGGGGGCACGTGCACTCTCCAGTGAGGGGCGTCTTCCAGGCCCACCCCCCTCAACCTTCTCCACCCTTCTCCCCACAGGTGAGCATCGTCTGGACCCAGATGCATACCTGTTGGATCTGTACCGTGCCAACCCCTATGGCGAGTGGGTCATTAAGCAGAGCCCCACCTAAGCCTGGCGGGGGCTCGCTCTACCCCCTTCTCTGACTCAGAGCTCATGCACCGCACTGGAGCAAAGTGACTTAAAGGGAAGGTCTGAGTCTCTGAAATGCTTCTCAAATTCTGAAAAGGACACAGGGTTGGAACTGTCTCCCCCCTTCAAACGCCAGCACAAAGCCCTCACCCCCACCTCCTCTCAGCCCTCAAGAGGGCTCCTACACCAAGCGGGCTGTATTCCTGCACTGCTTGGAGCATGTGGATTTCGATGAGGTTTTGTCCACAATTTCTAGACCTAAGGAGAATTTATAAAGCAGCACCTCCACTGAGAGGCAGTTGGATTTTTTTCCAAGGAGAAAATTGCTTTGAAAGTAGCCCTGTGGTGTGTAGAGCCTAGAGGCTCTGTGACCTCCAGCAAGTCCCTTGCCCTCTCTGAATCCGTCCAGATGAGGGGGTTCTGTTTCAGGGAACAAAGGCTGTGGCTGTGAAAAACTGAAGAAAAACTGTCTTTCACAGCTCTCCTGCTTTCAGTGTGGGTCTGTACAGTCTTGTCATTTTGTAATGTGATATTTAAATTGCTTGAACGTTAAAGGGCGGTGGGGGGG